ATCAAATGAGTTGTTAATTATAAGAAATCTAGTAAGCTGTAGGTAGACAACTTTTTCAAGGACTTTCCCCATAAATGGCAGATTTGAGATGGGACGATAGTTGTTAAGTACCGTAGCATCCAGGCTGCTCTTTTTTAGCAGGGGCCTGGTGACTGCCGTTTTCAGGGCCTTTGGGAATATTCCAGAATGAAGGGACATGTTTACTATCTGTGTGAGTGAAGGTAACAGACTGCCCAGAACAGACTTCAGAAATCTAGTGGGTAGTACATCCAGGCTGCATGTGGAGGAGCTCAAACTGGAGATTATTTCTTGGACATTTTTATCATCTACAGGTGCAAAGTAAGTTAGCTCAGAGAGCCTTTCTGGCTGTTGGATGGTTATCTGTGGATTGGAGACAATGGCGTTTTTGATGCCTTGAACCTTGTCATTGAAAAAGTGTGCAAACTCATTGCATTTACGTTTGGAAGTTAGCTCTAATGGCATCTGAACAGGGGGGTTTGTTAATCTATTAACTGTTGAAAACAGAACACGCAGATTGTTGCTGCAGCCTTCAATCATTTCAGAAAAATACCTTTCTCTCGTACTACGTAGCACCCGGTTAAACTCGCACAACTTATCTTTGAATATCTTGTAATCAACCTGGAGGTTGGACTTGCGCCACTTCCGCTCGACCCTCCGGCACTTTCTCTTTTGTGCCCTGACCGAGTCTGCTTTAGCCCACGGCGCCTTCTGCTTATTTTTCACTATTTTAACCTTCACAGGGGCAACGGTATCCAGAACATTCAAAACACTAGAGGTGACAGAGTTAAACAGTTCATCTACAGTAGAATACGATGCATTTTCAAAGTTTATCATTCCCATAAATAGTTCACTCGTATTTTCATTTATGTGTCTTCTTCGAACAGTTGCAGAGTCCACTGGTGGTTTGTTAGTGAAACACATGTCAAAAAATACACAGAAATGATCCGAAAGAGCAACATCGACCACGCTTATATTTGAAATATTCACCCCCTTTGTAACTAACAGGTCTAGAGTGTGCCCTCTGCTGTGGGTGGGGCCACTCACGTGCTGAGTGAGACCAAAGGTATCAAGTAAAGAACTCAGCTCTTTTGCATTTCTGTCATCAACATTATCCACATGAATATTAAAATCACCTGTAATAACTAAACTATCAAAATCTGTGCATACAACTGAAAGCAACTCGGTAAAATTATCAATAAAACTGTGACATGACTGCGGTGGCTTGTATAGAACTATGAAGAGTATTGGAGGAGATTGTTTTTGTTGTATTTTAAAAGACACATATTCAAAAGACGGAAACTTCCCAAGAGACATTCTATGGGAGACAAAGTGGTTTCTAAAAATGGCAGCTAAGCCTCCTCCTTTTTTGTTTTCCCGTATTTCAGATTCAAACTTGAAATTTGGTGGTGATGCTTCTATTATCTCTATGCGTGTGTGTATCTCTCTCTCTGTGCGTTTGCGTGTGTATCTCTCTGTGTATTTGCGTGTGTGTGTATCCCTGTATGCATGTATCTGTGTGCGTGTGTGTATCTCTCTCTCTGTGCGTTTGTGTGTGTATCTCTGTGTATTTGCGTGTGTGTGTATCCTTGTATGCATGTATCTGTGTGCGTGTGTGTATCTCTCTCTCTGTGCGTTTGTGTGTGTATCTCTCTGTGTATTTGCGTGTGTGTGTATCCCTGTATGCATGTATCTGTGTGCGTGTGTGTATCTCTCTCTCGGTGCGTTTGTGTGTGTATCCCTCTTTCTCCCTGTATGCATGTATCTGTGTGCGTGTGTGTATCTCTCTCTCTGTGCCTTTGTGTGTGTATCTCTCTGTGTGTTTGCGTGTGTGTGTATCCCTGTATGCATGTATCTCTGCGCGTGTGTGTATCTCTCTCGGTGCGTTTTTGTGTGTGTATCTCTCTGTGTGTTTGCGTGTGTGTGTATCCCTGTATGCATGTATCTGTGTGCGTGTGTGTATCTCTCTCGGTGCGTTTGTGTGTGTATCTCTCTGTGTGTTTGCGTGTGTGTGTATCCCTGTATGCATGTATCTCTGCGCGTGTGTATCTCTCTCTGTGCGTTTGTGTGTGTATCTCTCTGTGTGTTTGCGTGTGTGTGTATCCCTGTATGCATGTATCTGTGTGCGTGTGTGTATCTCTCTCTCTGTGCGTTTGTGTATCTCTCTGTGTATTTGCGTGTGTGTGTATCCCTGTATGCATGTATCTGTGTGCGTGTGTGTATCTCTCTCTCTGTGCGTTTTTGTGTGTATCTCTCTGTGTATTTGCGTGTGTGTGTATCCCTGTATGCATGTATCTGTGTGCGTGTGTGTATCTCTCTCTCTGTGCGTTTTTGTGTGTATCTCTCTGTGTATTTGCGTGTGTGTGTATCCCTGTATGCATGTATCTGTGTGTGTGAAAGTGGTTGGAGCCCAATAAGCATTTGTTTCATCCAACCCTCTGGCAAACCCTAAAACTCTTCTTCTGTAACTTTCTTGTTCTATGTTAAAAAATAGAAAAATAGCAAAATAAAAATTTAAATAAATCCTACTGCACACTTTCTCTGTTGTGCGTCAGTCGTGGACAGAGGACTCACAAACAAACACACACTAACGGCAAAACCAGGTCAGATGATTTTATTGTGTTTTCAATGTTTTCTGAATTTCAAAACATCAGTGCAGCACTCGACAACAAACTGTAGCTACATGTCACTGTAAAAAACTGAATTATTTTTCCATTGACTGTATATTTTGCTTTTCACTGTGTTTGATTTGAAATGAAACGACACCAGCAGCGAAGAAGAACGACTCAAAGATCAAGGACAGACAAGATCTCATGTGTTCTTTAATATAACAGGAGACTCCAACCTTTTCCCACAGAGAGATACTTGCTCATGAGCTACACAGGGACCAGAGAGAGCTGCTTCTGTATGTGGTTAACCCTCTCCAGGCAGGCGTTGCAGATTTGCAACAACTTTATTTCTTATTACCTAACTACTCCCCATTCATATTTTTGACCCTTGGTTTACTCAGAAGTACCACAGCTGGACTTATTGAGCTTTAGCAACACACACTTTTCCACCTGACACCAAAGTCAGTCTTGAGGTTTTACGGATTCACAGATTTTCTACGCTAACATTTCAAGTCAGCAACCTCCAATAATTTGAAACCAAAACTGCATCAAATAAAAGATGAATACATATAGATAGAGTCAATGCCAATTAGTGGATTATATCTCCTCTGGGGTTTTCCCCGGCTCTATTCACCACAGCGGGTCAATGTTGCAAATCTGCAACATCCCAGAATGCATTGCCTGTGAAGGACTCTCTCTCTCTGAAAAGTGAGGATTGTATATTACTACACCATTTGATAATTTTCCCCAAATTTTCGATTTGATTTTTCCTGTCATTCAACTTGAATTGGCCCTGAGAGGGTGAAGACTGTGAAGTGATGAAAGCCTTGGATTGCATTGACATGAAATCATATTGTAACCGATATATATCGATTAGTGTAAAAAAGTTTGCCTAAAACATACATTTTAAAATATCTAGGAGATTATTTGACGTTTCTATCCTTTGGCGAGCGACTGGTGTCTCCTGAGCTGAAGGTTGGAGCTCCCTGGTACATCGTAATTGTTTTTCCTTTGACTTAATACAAAAAGACATCTCTACCCGTTAGTGCTTTGTTTTAAGATACTATAACATAAATAAACCATTTATTTCAGTGTTCAGAACAGACAGTTCCAGTGTGACTGGAAAACTAACACAACATATTCCAGTTGGCAGCAGGGGGTCTCAGTTCTCCTCTCAGCGCCCGGTGCACCCCCAAAGCACCTCCATGGTCCCTATTCACCTCCATGGTCCCTATTCACCTCCATGGTCCCTATTCACCTCTGGTCCCCAAAGGATTCCTCGTCTCATCCTGTTTTAAGACGTGTCTCTGTGTTTCGTCTCCAGATCCTCATTCACAAGTCAGAGAAGAACTGTGCAGGAGACCAATCAGTATTAAACATTCGCCCCGTTTCCACCAACCCTACTCTACTCTACTCTACTCTACTCTACTCTACCCTACTCCACTTTACTCTACTCTACCCTACTCCACTTTACTCTACTCTACTCTACCCTACTCCACTTTACTCTACTCTACTCTACTCTGCTCTACTCTACTCTACTCTACTTTACTCTACTCTACTCTACTCTACTCTACTCTCCACGACTCTACTCTACTCTGATTAGGAGTGGTTCCATCAGCCCTATTTAACCAGTACCAGGTCCTTCTTTAGTCCCTCTTGGTCCTGGTTCTATCCAGGCCGAGCTGGTACTAAAGTGTTCAGACTGACAGCGATTGGCCAGAGTGTTGCCATGGTTACCACAGCATTTGTCCAGATACTGGTTTGTTGCGAGTCGGTTAAAATTACCTGCCACAGTGGCTAAAAGTAGAATAGAAATACCTTCAATTAGGGCTTAAAATGCTCTAAATGACCCAGGGCCGGTCAAGTTTAAACTTGAAATTTTTTGTGTATAATTTTTAGGACATTTTTTAATCAATTTGACCCAAGGACACGGTACCAGATACTAAAGCATGATGGAACCACAACCAAGTAGAGTAGAGTAGAGTAGAGTAGAGTAGAGCAGAGCAGAGCAGAGCAGAGCAGAGCAGAGCAGAGCAGAGCAGAGCAGAGTAGAGTAGAGTAGAGTAGAGTAGAGTAGAGTAGAGTAGAGTAGAGTAGAGTAGAGCAGAGTAGAGTAGAGTAGAGCAGAGCAGAGTAGAGCAGGGTGGGGCTGGTGGAAACAGGGCTACAGACTCTCTGAAAGCATCACAGATTCTCGTGTGCAAACCAATGCTTTAAAGAGCGTCTCTGTTCTCGTCGTCTCGGGGCCGACACACAACGCTCGAACTGAGGCGTCTCCGTCGGTCGAGTCCCAGGTCCCAGATCTCAAACCCCAGGTCCCAGAGTCCCGCGTCCCGGTCAGTCCCGGTCAGACCATATGAGGTGAGGTCCGGG